CTTTTATCTGTAAAAAAAAAATCATACGTTATTATTTACCACAAAGTGTCTACATCTATGATTCAATTAATACACAAATCCTTACAAAATAACACTGATAACCGATTATGTTATATTACTAATGGTGACGTTCACCTAATGGGTCCTGAGTTCGAATGTATCTCCCGCCCCCCGCCTACTACAGTCTGGGAAAATAGCTAGTGGTATTAACTCTTGCACAAACATTATTGTAGCTTGTAGCCTTGTGTATGGGGAGTCTGTTCAGAGTAGTTGAGTTCTAAGAACAATAACAGTAATCTAATAACTACAATTTAAACATTCAAAAAAATACTTATCGTAATTTTCCCTTCATCGGTAAACAGGATAGAACAGTATACAGAACATTATCTTGCTTTTCACCACTGATAATTCGAATGCCTGTCGTGCAGTTTTTTTTTAAACAGTGAACACAATATTGCAGTACTTGGTATGGAGGGAGAGCGATTAGTGGGCTTTTTCAACAACAACTACTGATTAAGACATCCCTGTCATATACTTGGGCAGCTGTAGATTATTGAACGTACGAATTCGGACCCAATTCGACCTAACAAAGTTTGGACAGCTTAGGTATTATTATTATTAGCAGTAGTAGTGGTAGTGTAACGGGAGAAGATAAGGGACTTGGTGACAGATTTTCTTTATTACGGAAAAACACCATATTTATATGATCTTAGCTACATACATTATGGTTCGGTTACGTCAGGGAAGAATAAATTGTTCTGATTGGTCGGCAGTCGGCCCAAGGTTAAACGAGGTTGTCCAATGAGGTTATTTCATGTCCACAACATAAACTGAATCCAGTTTTAGTGAATAAACATTTCTACTTCTGCTGCCATTTACTTAAAATGTTGGTTTCAGTTTTGGCCGCATCCTATCAATCTGCATCACGTTACAGAAGTACGCACAGAATAGATATGGCTCAATTCTATATGTATAAGCATTCAGATAATTGCTCTAAGTTACAGTCTGATTAAAGCCTGTTGTAAAGGAAGACAATAGAATGTTGAAGTGGACATGCAATTTTTCTACAGTTAGTATCCGCATCAATATATAGACTAGAGTGAAACTGTTGGACAAAAGCTTAAAATGCAATTTACCTAAGATTCAAATTAATTTATATTGGTAGTGATAATCAATAGTGAAATCGTATAAGAAGAAATTGCAGATTGAATTTAACCAATAATTATGGAGTTATTATTATTTTTATTATCATGTTATGTGCGTGTAATGTCGAAAGTGGAATGAAAGCCGAAATGTGTGTTTTATGGTGAGATAAAAACGTGTTAAGGTCAAGTCAATTAAGGGTCAAAAAGTAATAAAACAATATTCACACTATATAACAAATAGTCCTATAATCAATACTTACCTTATGAATACAATATATCTATGGTCGGCCTGAAATTTGGGCTACCGATATCCATGCTGAAAATTCCATACTTGTACTGAAAATACGGTGTGGAATCAAACTGTAATCAAAATAAAATAATAAAAAATATTAATTTGTGACTTGACTTAGGTAGGATTACGTTGTCACTTGTCTACAGTAGGCACCAGTCTTTCCCGTTTTTGAGTTTTTTTAATATTATGTCTCCTTCTGCTTAGCACATATTTTTAGCACTAGTAATCAATGCCAGCAAACTATGTACACCTCTTTTCTGTCTTATAAACGTGGTGTGATAGGATTGATTGATAGGATGCGGCCAAAACTGAAACCAACAGTTCAAGTAAATGGCACCAAATCTGTATTTAGTTTGTGTTGTGGACATGAAATAACCGCATTGGACAACCCCGCTTAACCTTGGTCCGATTGCCGACCAATCAGAACAATTTATTCTCTCCTGACGTAACCGAACTATAATGTAGTCTAAGATCATATAAATATGGTGCTTTTCCGTAAAAAATAAAATCTGTCACCAAGTCCCTTATCTTCTTCCGTTACATAGACACTAATTATAAACAGATGCAATAGTCGAATGTTTTGATCAATCAACTTGCCTTTTTTTATGGTTGCATCGCTTTTAATGGATGGCTCGATGAGGTAATCAAAGCGTCATACTTTTCAAAGGGCTGTTTCTCATTCACTGATTTGTTCCATTTTCGACTAATCAACTGCCGTATTGAGTATCAGTGAATAATCAGAAAAAGGTAGATAGTTAAAGGTAGAAGACATGAGGAGATCGTAGACGTTCTCGTTACATTATGCGACACAACAACTAAGTGGGCTGGGTTAGAGCTACTCGATCGATGAGATCATGAATATTCTTCATTCAAGGACTCTGAAATATCTGCTCTGTGAATGCCTATGAAACAGGTCAAATAAAGTAGAATTGGACTGGAGATAAGCAAGGATTAGTTAGCCAGGCTATGACATGCAACCTCGGATTAGCATTCTAGGGAAAAAGGTAGGTATCTTGGCTGTTGTCCTTAAAGTATGCGAATCAACCGTCGGAGGAGGGGTTCTTGATAACATGCCTATCTCAAAATTGTGAGCGTTTTCATTATTCGCTTTCATTCAATATCCGTTTCCGTATGTCTCGATATCACTTTATATTTACCTGCTTCTTTTTTATCCGCCATTATATGACAAGGTTGTGACAAGTTAAAGTGATGCCTTTTGCAAGTAATGCTGATCAACTGACTGGGTGAATTTTTCTTTTTTCAACGTAAAACTCTGCACAAAAGTGTAGCGGTCTAAGGACACATAAAAAAGAAATGCGATAAAACTACAATGAGTGGAAATCTGAGTCAGGAAGAATAATGTAGTGTTAATGGAAAGGTCGATTACTTCAATGTGTGTGAGCTAGTGACAACAATTTTTAACTAATATCATCAACAGTCTTCAGTCACTGGTTATTCTTTTAGGTTTCCCTATATGGTTCAAACTGACAGTCAACTAATACTGTGGTGGTGTGTTACAAACAAAATGTGTTCCAACGGAATATTATTCTCACATATTCCCACAGTTCACTACTGCGTTAGCAACAGAATACAATGTATATTTGAACATTCTATTTCATGTCGTTTAATGTAAGCTGAAATCACACGCGCGATGATTAGTTAGAGAATATAAAACTGTATCTACATAAATAGCGGTTTGATCAGTTGAAAATATACCTTGGCTTCCATGTCTTGCCTCCTGTTGTTAAAATACGACTTTGAATATGACGTTAGGCTTTTTGGTATCAGGCATTACTGGACTCATTATACTTGGTTGTTAAAATCTGATCACCACTTAGTTACTTTAACTATTTTTTTTTATTCCTTCACGTTCCCACTGTAACATAGGGCTTCAAGCTAGAGGCTTGAAGTTTCTGTAGCAGTGGTGATTATTTTTACAGGATGGGGTTGCTAGTCTCATGCCCAACCTTTCCTCTTTACCAGTTTTTATTTCTGGCTTAGCGAGATAAAGGAGTGCGTCGGCCGGGGATCGAACTCCGGACTATGTGCATGGTAGGCGAGCGTCCTAACCGCTGTGCCACCGACGGACAACTTTAACTAATAGTTCGATTAAATCTACTAGAGTTTTGGGATACGGAAGGCGTTTATATGCCTATTAGATATTAGACAGAAGACTGTGAAGCTATTTTTTGTACTTATTGACACTCAGAAAGCTGAAATTCTTGTTTCCTTTATGATTTAAAACTTGTCTTAACTGATTTCAAAGTGTGAAGATTTGACTAATGTGCTCTTCAATTTATTTCTAGTCTTTTTTAGGATTAGGTTATGCGCACTATCTCGTGACTACTATGTTCTGTGAATTTCAGTTGACCCTCACTATCTAGATATTTAGTAAATCAATTTTTATTGATCCTAGTTTTGAAACCTTATATAAATACAAGGAATATTCTTATTATGGGGTAAACAATCTAAAAGATGAGATGTTCATCATCATCATTATCCAGTGACTGAAACTGTTTAAAGGCTTCAGTAGCTTAATTGACCTAGGTTTCGTGCTTGTTGGCACTCACCAGTTAGCAAGGCACGTCCTCTCTGATAGAATTTAGTCTGCACCAAACAAAGGACTAGACGCATGACACTAGTTACTTACTATCTAGTGTTCAATGAAAATATCTTAAACAGTCCTACAGGAGGTCGATCTCGAGCCTGAATAGCTCAGTGGGGATGTCTGTGACTGCAGCACTGGGTGACGCGCGTTCGGAGAGGAGACATGGGTTCCTTCACGGTTGCAGATACGCCTTGCTGACGAGTGCCAACAAGAACGAAACCCAGATGCAAAGCTTTCTACCGGTTTCTTGCAACCATCTAGTAGCAACAACGGCTTGAGTAATTGTTGTGTATCATGCTAATTAGTTTACTTGTTACTAGTAGTGAAATTCAAGACTGATGTATGCATGCTTCCAGTTGCAACTCCGCGGCTGAACATGGTAGTATCCTAAAGTGAATATTGCCGCCTCCTCTGAAACTTATAACGTGTATCTACCATTTTAAACTCCAGATAGTTATTCAAGTAATCTACTGCTTTTAATATAATCATATTAGATTACGAACTTTTTTAAGCATTATTTTGGTATTAGAAGTTAATTGGTGAATGGTGACTAGCAGTGGAATCCAGGGTGCGCATTTCGCCCTATTTGGGACTCGTCATCTGGTTGTACCTGCATTCAGCAGTGAGTGATGATGTTCCCATAGAAGCATCTGCACAAGAAGCCGACACGTCAACCTGAGACCGAGCACTTCGGTCCAATCAATCGACGGGAAAATCTAAAATTGAATTAAATAATTATTTCGGTATCTTAGCACTCATTTAGTCTATGTTTTGTAATATGTGTAAGACAGAATAACGCAAGCTTTAAAATTTCCTGAGATAATAATCTATCACATTCCGAAATATTAGCCTACTTGTAAAGTTAATCAGTTATAATAATTTCATTATTTTAATTAAAAGTAAATGATGAACATCCTTCTTTAATGTGTAATCAATTTTTCAAAAATTATCACAGGTCCAGCTACTGTTAGAATGGTCTCCAATAGTGGTCCACCTTTACCCATGCCTATGCAAGTCCCACCTGGTCATTTAGTTCAACAAATTGTTGATGAGGAAGGCATTCTTACTCATGTCATCCTATCACCCTATCCAACTCCTCCATTATCAATGGTTGCAACTGGTGGTGTCCCAATGTCAATTAATCAGACAAATGATGTTTCTACAGCTGGTGCTAACCTAATTTTAAATCCTAATCAGCATTTACAACCTCATCATCCTCATCCTCATCTCCATCCTTTATTACCATCTCCTGGTATACCAACCAATGAAAATCTAATCCATATGAATCCGTATACATTACCACATCCACAAGCTATTCCTGGTCATCCGATACATCCATTTCCGCCACCGCCTCCACAATTTATTCATCCGCATCTTCCACATTTTCACCAACAGTTTAATCTTCATTCACCACAAGCGCATGTTTGTGCCGCTGCTGCAGCTGGTGGTATCGGTGAAGGAGATTTTTCAACAAAATATCCAGTTCCTTCTGACATTGCGAACGATACAAATCACTGTGATATGTCAACAGGTTCAACAACATATTTAACCAATGACGTTTCAGAATTACCCTCGAATAATCCTTCCAAACAAAGTGTCGTTAAAGTAATCCCTGATTCAACCACGACAAATATCACCACTACTGCTTCCAGTACTATTAGTACTAATTCTACGACCAATAATTGTATTAATGGTGATAATAATAATAACAGTAATAATAGTAGTTCTGACATAACAGATACACATTCCGATACAGTTACAATCAATAAACTACATCCACTTGTTGATGGTTATTGTGATTTAGCAGAAAATGATGTTGACAAAGTGTCAATTCCGAGTAACAATAAAAAGTCAATCAGTCCAGAGTCATCTTTAATAACGGATTCATCGTTGTCAAATGATGATACAAAAACGCTTAAATCTTCTAAGGTAAGCAAGCCTTCATTGTTTATCTCTTGTAGTTTTTTTTAATACTTTACTTTTACATACATTATATGATTATCGTTGTCATTGTTCAACCAACAGCTGAAATCTTGATGCAAATAATTCACAGAGCTATGTTTGTAGAGTCATTCAGGAATATCAGCTGAATAACTGTAAGACCATAAGCTGATCTCATTATAGTATGAACAGTTTACTCTACAGTGGGATCTGAAAGAGAAGTTATACTTTTCGACCGAGGAATTCGATGGTACTAAGGTCTTTAGTTCTAAAAATCTGTTTCCTTGTTGTGTATATTTATTATTGCTCCCCTGGGTTCCGAATGGAACATAGGGCTTCAAGAGCACATCTCCACCATACCATGTTCTCTGAAGTCCTCTTTAGCTGTCCCCACGTTTGACCATAAGCTATAATCTCCTCCTCGCATGATCTCCTCCATGTCATCCTCGGACCCACGCCCAACTCATTGTTTTCCATTCAGGTTCACGTGATGCGATTTGACGGTCTCCTCAGCGTGTGTTCGATTCATCTTCATTTTCTTCGTCATATTTGTTGAGCACTAGGTTCTTGATTGATTCGTTTCCAGAGTTTCTTGTTGTTAATTCTTTCTGGTCGGTCATCTGATCTTCAATATTGAGCCAGAGAAGGCATCTGTGGACAGAAGTCTGCAGCTGGTTGTTTGAAATGCTATTCGTAATGCGCGAAGTTTCTCACCCGTATAGAAGCAGTGGCTGACTTTATATTGATGTTGAAATTTCGAATTTCGTCCTTTACACTACTGAGTGCAGTAAAATTCTAAACTGCTATTAGTGTCATGAATGCACCTGCCTTGCCTTTCCGACTTTGGTTTTGACATCGTCATCCGTTCAGCCTGCCTGTATTTGAAACGATGCTGTTACTATATGGTCCTCGAATATAATGGGGAATGTACTAGCAAGCAAAGATCTGAAAAACCAAATGGTTTTTCATTGTGGATGATAAAGTTTTGTATTTGTAAACCGTAGATTATATGTCACAGAATCGATTTTACTCCTTACTCAGATTAATTGTATTATTATACTTTTATGTTTACCTAACTTTTCCTTCTTTTGTCTGGATCATCTGCTTAGTAACCACCTTTAATCGTACCATTCTCATTTCTTAGTCTTTCTTCCTATTACTTACTTGATTGTATAGGTGTTGAGCGTATCACAAATACACTAATGCTTAATATTACAATGTTTGTAATTTCCCTTTTTTTGTCTATTATGTTGAGATGTTGTACTTCAGCCGTGTTTGATGCACTTTTGTTTAATGTTATTTTGTCTTCCATATTCTCAGTTAGTGTCTCTAACTCTATATATTTTATATATTGACTGATTTGCACATGTTTGCGTGATAGTATGCTTGTTTGTCTGGGCCAAAACAAGTGAATTTTGTTAACACATAAATGTGTTAGTGTATTTTTAAAACGCTTCCAATACATACAATACAATACGATACAATGAGTGCATATCATTATTTCCCACATTGTTTAATCCTTACCCAAAAAACCTCGTGTTTTATTATCTAAAATTGCTTTTCTTGTAAGCATGCCACAGGACTCTACTAGCCTTTGACATAACATGTAAAATGACTGGAAAATTTGCTATCAAAAAGGTGTGGTACTCAAAGCACATTATTTTTTATTCATGTACCTACAAATACCCAAAATTTCTGAGGCCTAATGGGAAAGTTTCTAAAAGGATTCCTGCTAATTAATTTAAGGTTATAATTAGGCATGCAGATGAAGAATTCTTAAAAAGAATCTTTTAAGTAAGCTGACTGATTCTGAGTGTTTTCAAAATCTCTCTGGCTTTAGCTTTTTTCCCGTTTAGTGCAGTTTATGCTATACTCCATTGACATGAACAGTTTGGTCTGCATTAGTATGACAGGCAGCATGGGTGAGGATGTCCAAACCAGAATCGTAAAGGAATACCAGACCTCCATCACTCTGAAATAAGTTTGGAAATCTTCAGAATTCACTATAAAGAACAAAGTTCTAACTCTCAACACCAATGTCAATTCAGTCACTTCCTCCAAATGGGTCAGAAACTTTACCAGCGAGTCACCAAAAGCATCTTCAACAGGCTACTGAAGACCTTCATCAACACACCTGCCTTCAATAGCTAATTCCACACTTACTAACGATCAGATGGCACTGGCTGGCCAGAGAGAATTATCATCAACAAGAAACTCCAGGAACGAATCAATCAACCAGGAACGAATCAATCAAGAACTTAGTGCTCGACAAATATGTTGAAGAAAATGGAGATGGATCGGACACACGCTGAGGAGACCGTTGGGTGACTTCGCGTGTCAGGTCATATCTGGAGTGGAAGTTGAATGGGAAACGACGAGTTAGGCGTATGTCCGAGGTCGACATGCAGGCGATCGTGTGAGTAGGCGATAAAATCGAATGGGCAGACGTGGGACCAGTTAAAGTGTATTTCAGAGAACAGGACAAAATGGAGATGTTCTCTTGAAGCCCTATATTCCACTTGGAACCAAAGGGAATAATAATAATAGTAATTGTTTTGACTGATGTTAGGTAATAGACATCATAATTTTGGAAGTACTCATGAGTTATTTTTAGTCCTACTGTGAAAGTTTTTTTAAAATTCTGGCACCACGGGTCATACACCAGATAAGTATACTAATCTTTAGGTTTTACGAACATTCTGTTCACCCCATCAGTGGAAAAACAATAATTCTCGTTCGCACAACACACCACTAACTATCAAATAGTTCAAACAAAAGAGTGCAGTAAATTTCACAAGTCGCCTCATGTTTTCATGTTATTCAACCATAAAGAATAGGATGCATATACTCCGATTCAGTTTGCTAATATTTCTGCAAATATTAGTATATATTTGTAGATATGAAGAGAACTTAAAGCAAACTGTACTTAATTTGTATAGGTTACACCTATCCACCAATGTAGTTCACGATCTAACTGATCACTAGGTGATATAATGAAAACCTAGTTGAAAAATTGGTCTGGTCCCATGTCTATTATCAGTGCCTTTTCTTCAAATATGTGTATTCACACTTTGTAAGTATCATGTATGGATATTTTAACCGTATCCAGCGACGTATATCTGTTAATAATCGCCTATCCGAAGAAGACATGGGTTTGTTCCAGTAACAGATGTCTCTATTACTGTTCCCTATGGCAAATGAACATAGTGTTTACTTTTACTGTTGAAATTTCTGTGTTGCTAACATTTCTTATGTAAGCTTCAGGCTGCGAAACGGGTTTTGTACATATGTTAACTAGCGCCAAAATGATCAGTGATCTCAACATAGATTTTGATACTATTTAAAAATATGCCTAGGCAACTGATCAAGAGGTAGCTCATTGTGAAAGAAATTGGATGGATCAATTATGATTACTTTGAAAGGAGTTGAAGTTTTCTTGTAAGTTTAATATTAATCGGTTAGTAACACGAAGAAAGTTACATTTTTAAGCAAATATGAATCTGAGTTGTGTTTGGTAGGGAATTCAGTAGTGCAGATAGGGAATATGCAAAATACAGTTGTTGACGCCAGCAACATGGACTAGACTGATAAAATTGGTTACTTCCTACTGTCCAAACAATGTGTCTGTTACACTCTTACAGGAGGTCAGTCACGGAACGAATAGCTCAGTGGAAACGCCTCTCTTTTTGGCGCTGGATGGTGAGTGTTCGAATCTCAGTGAGGATATTAGTACCATAATGGTTGCAAATACCCTTCGCTGATTTGTACCAACAAACACGAAACGTAGCTTCAGAGTTACCTGCCAATCGCCGCCAGCCATCTAACATAGGAAATATTATAGGAGAGAAAACATTCTTAATCTAATGATTTGACAAGAATTATGCATTATCCCACCAGTGGATTGAGTTTTACAAAGTAGTTTCTTTTTCACGCGCAACTGCTGCATCATCAGTTGACAGAGGTTAGAAAGGGTGTCAGTCGTTTTATTCTCATGTACTGTTTGAATGACCATTTTTTAAATTTTATTTATTTAATTCCTTTCGCCTTCCGAGTGGAACATAAGGCTTCAAACTTGAACTTTGAAGTTTCAATAGCAGTGATGTTTTACGGGATGGGTTTGCTAGCCCCACCTCCAATCTTCCCTCTTTGTCGGGGTTACAGTCAACTAAGTGAGGTGAAGGTGTGCACCGGCGGTGGATAGAACCCCGGCCCACATACATGGTCGGCAAGCATACTTCGGCTGAACCACCGACGCACCATGGCCATATCATAATAAAGCGTCATGTCCTGGTATTGTGGTTGAGCAATGCTACTGATTCTGAAATTATGACGAAACAGATTATTTAGTGTTACTTAATTTCCAGTGTTTCTCTGAGTGATACTTTAGAACTGAATAAATCTGCCTTTAAGGTGATAGGATTCATTATTTGTAATTTTTTGAACACAATACATTGATGCGCCTCCGTGGTCTAGAAACTCAAATCGTTTGTCTAACTGACTCACACGACACTACCCATCTTCAGTAGGTATTATTTCAAGTTTTCGTATTTTTAATTGATACCAAATTTAGACATTTTCACCCCCTTCTGCAATAAATAGTATGACTCAGTCCTTGTATTCACACAGATAACTAATAACATTATTTGATCCAGGCATACTTTTCAGGTTGTCGAATTTGTTGAAGATCAAATGGATTATTATTATTATTATTAATTAAGTCGAATCATTTGTTACTATTTCGATTTAAAAGTAGCTTACACAATTGCCTGGAGTATTTTAAAACATAGCTTACGTACGAATTTAATAATGTGTTATCTTTATTTAAATTCCTTTTTTGAAGTGTTGCTAGAGTGTAGAGGGATTAAGTTGAAAGCATATATTATTATTACCCTTAATATTCTTAATAGGAGTAGTAATAGTTGCAGTGCATATACTCTTTCTTAAAACTAAATAAAAAATATATGAAAGTGTGAGTTGATTAATAACTA